AGCAAAGGATTGAAAACCAAAATAAGAACAGGAAATTTGTGAGAGCTTAAGAGAAAGTAAGAAAAATTCGAGGCAATCCAAGGAAATTTCCACATCTTGCGAGATTGCACACAAACGTCGTTTTGGAATCAACAAATCAACTTCAATTTTGACGCAGCAGCAGCTCTACTAAATGTTGTCTATGCGGATAGAACAAGCTACAAAGCCGTGTTGTACGCGTTCAAAACAAACATGCTGAACTCGATACCAACACTATTGGAACAACGACTGCCGATGTCTCTTGTACCACGAGAATCCTTGTTGGCGGTCATTGACGCTGTATATAGACGAAGAACACCGTCCAACTCTTGCTATACCTCCAAGCGACATCCACTCTTCTTATGATTCAAAGTTACATCGCGATTTCACTACAACTGAGGAAAGATTATTGCTTAATCTGGCAATACCGTACGCGTCGAGCCAGACGGCTTTCCGAATCTACCGCGCACAGGTCATTCCTATGCCGCAACCAGATCCAACCGAAGCTATAAGGTATGTCACATAAGGACCCTATTTAGCAATTTCGGAGAACTCAATGGAAATGACAGTCCTAACAGAAGACCAGTCGTCATGCCGTGCCACACTTCATTTCCATTCGTCAATGACTGCACTGATGGTATGCGAAACCAAAAAGTCCCTTCCCCCGATGCCTGAGAAAGCGACCAACCTAGGCTACGGATTATGGCTAATAACCTCAGCCAGTGCTGCGTTTTCGCTACGGGAGTACAGCCTCGAAGAACTGAATACCCCCAAATGAGAAGACAACGCGGACTGTAATGTTTGTTTAATAACATTAGACTGTGGGACGAAGTTAATAAGAGCAATCATTTTAAAATTGAGCCGGTCTCAGATAGCTGTGACAAATTTCCAGCAAAGCGAATCGACGTGACTTTGTCGGATCCATTGGCACACTTACTTTCAGAACTGCCAGACTTATCAGAACTACCATACTACGAATCAAAAACGGACGCCGGAGTAAAGTTGCTCGGAGAAGTAAAATCGAAACTAAATGACAGCCCGCATTTGACGAAAGTTGATCAATTGAACGATATAGCACAACCTATCGCACATAATATGAGATTGCTCAAACCTAGTCTCGTCGACAAAATGGAGCAATAAGTACCATTACGACTGTCCCTTACATAGACAGTGACAGTCTTCCTCGGAAACCTTCTCATACACGCGCTGATCATGTACTTGTGCCATCGATTTGCAACCTTCAGAAGACTGACACCGAAGTTCATGAAGTCAAACGACGGAAACATAAAGTTGAAACAGGTACTGTCAGTATCAGCAGCCCTTGTCAAAATCAGGAATTTTCCGAACACGGATCAAAAATTAGACAAAACTGCTTGGTTTTGACAAAAGGAGATTTCGACACCTGCCACACAACGAGAACCCTTTCTGGATGGACATCAGTTTGTTCTTCGGCGGGAGCAGCAAATGGGAACTCCGAGCCCAATATTAATACCAACAGAGGTAGAGAGGAAAGCTTTGCCCAAATTTAAGCAGTTGAACTGTATTTCATTACTATCATGCTGACTGACGAAGTGCCCTTACATTTAGCTTCAATCATTTCTTGATTGATCTCTATATCGAGACAAACATCTGATAGTTTAAACGAGCTGAAATTTCCAGCGATAGCATCAGGGAAGTAACTGTACTTTAATCGAAGTGAAAGTTTATCTACATGTTAAGTTAATGAATTAGCTATTTGGGACAAGCATTTCCGTATATTTGAGCTCCATATTATTATTGCAATTTTATTTAGCTCGTGATGTTAATTTAATGTTAACATTTATAATCTAAAACTGCCTGAGTTGCGGCTTCAGCCAATTTGTCAGCACTGGGGCCCAATGACGACCAAATCAGAGATAACTGTGCCCATGAATAGAAACATTGATGTTTCAGCCAATCGGAGTGCAGTAAGCAAATACAAGCATCCATTGTCACCGGATGAGAGCGTGGCTGCATGCGGTGAAACGTCAGCCAATCAAAAAGCTCAAATTTACATATCCAGCGTCAATAACCGGAAAGGCGCGAAAACAGTCGGAGCCATTACTGAATGTGAGTTCAGTGAGTCGTTTAAGTTTCCTTCAAAATCAACCCTTATGGTTCTTTCGCTCAAGAAACTAGATGAACTTTTATTACGCTATCCAAAGATAATCAGAAGCAGTAGCAGCTGGGAAGTTAATACGAACCTTAAGGCCAGAAGTTTGGAACAAAAGTGGCTAAAAATGAATACCATCGTATCGGTCCCGTCGAATTTGAAAGGGGAAATCTACCCGACGGCTTACCCTGGAAATGTTATGATGAGCGTGATAACTCGAGGGACTGCAAGAGTCAAGAAATCAGAATGCGTGCAGGAGTTCATCAGCCTCAAGCTAGTGGAGGCTAATTACTAGTTCCTTTTTCAGCAGTGGAATGTCACTCTTCGCTACTTTTGTTCAATTCCCTCTCATTGAAATTCCAAAAGCATTACAATTTTTATGTGGTTCGTTGCAGTGATTTGCGGAGAGCGATGTTAGAGCACTGTTATGACTTTTTCTTTTTGCCCTCTGGATGCTAGCCGCAGATTTCCATGCCGTCATTCTGGGTTTTGTCCACAATTTGCTCTAGTTTCAACTCGTTTTTGCCATCACGGCCACATCCGAACTGATCTGTTTTTGTTGCTTCCGTGTTGCCGGCACGTTAGATCTGATAAAGATGACTAAAATTATGATCAGCAGAGCGTTGATTGAAAGTCCATCGGTTTAAGATTCCAAAGCAGGTCATGAGCTGGCTGAGGGTTTATGCACTAGGGGCTCTCCGTCGCTGTCGGTATGTATCAAAGCTTTTATCTTTGAACTCTTTCTGTTCAAAACGCCATTTCAAAATTTTAAATTGATTAAGCTGTTCTTTATGAATGCTCACAAAGTAAGTTTTCTTTAGTAACGTTACCAGTGTCAAGCTTGGATAACGAGATGTAAAATAATGGTGTAACAGTTCTTAGTTCAGCAAGGCAATGTCCTTTGCTTCTTCCTAAGTTCGGTACAATTCCTAAAAAGAAACTTTTGTAGATGTTTTTTTTTACAAATTTTTTCAAGTTTCGTTTTGCCTTGATCGTCGGCTTATTTTGTTTTGACTAGCTCGTCATGTTTTGGTTGTGATGTTTCTCATTTAGTTTGAAGATTAGTTTCGTCTTTTTGTATCGTTATTTCCTAGTTGTTCGAAACCAAGTAATGCGTCAAAGTGGGAGCATCTACATAGCCGTCAAGTAAGAATTTTTTGTCGCACTATCGAGATCGGATAAATGAATTCAAGCTGAGTCTGTGCTCTTGTTCCTCAAATAATCCATGTTTTTTCGAAATTCCGACGATGGGTGGCGTCTTGATTGCGAACGTTTCGTCAGATTGAAAATCATTTGAGTTTGTGTTTAGACTTGCGAGAGCAAGTGCCTTGTTGTCAGGGACCAGATTTTTTCGCGTAAAAAAAACTTTTCGTGCACATTCGTAAGAAATTTTGAAAAATTGGTTGGTTAGCAAACCTTAAAATTTTCAACACTTCTTCCTATTTGGTCTAGAGGTAACGTGGTTGCCTTTGTACTCTAATGTGTGGGGATCCGAATTCCGGCCGGATTCAATTTTTTTCAGCATGTATGAAATAGAAAAAAAATCCTGGAAAATTGAGTAATTGGGCTTTCGTTAGTATGCATTTGGTTTGTCGGCTTAGTTGCAACATCGGGAAATTTTTTGGTTTTGTCAGCAATTTTCTTTGTACATGCAATTTGTTTTGATTTACTTATGTAATTTGTAAAAAAAAATAATAGCCCTGCGTATGTTTTTCTGTAGTTATTTTCGCTTAAAAGCTTTATTCGCCCCAAATGGTTTCGGCTGATGTTTTATGGTCATAATTATTTTATTACTGTGACGCTTCAAGAGCAAACAATGATTAATTTTTTGGAAAAATTTGTTTTTGTTTTTTCAAGTTAGTTTATGTTGCAAGATTTCAGAGTTTCAAAACTTATGTTTACCTTTGCGATAAGCAAGGGTATTGCAACCGGGTTCTTGACTTTTTTCCCGTAAATACCTTTCATCACAGAGTGGTCAATTTAGGAATGGTAGGTTTCAGAACTTGCTCAGTTTCTTGAACATTCAAATAAAATAGTTAAAAGGTGGAGTACGTTTGGAGCAGTTACCCATTTCATCCAGCAAAAGGTGGAGTACGTTTGGGGCAGTTACCCATTTCGTCCAGCATAAGTGAAACAAATTCCATAATTATCAAACAGCTACCTCCAAGTTTTACTGGACCCCTAGTTTTCCAATTTTTGAGTATACGAATATTTTGGTTTTTTAGTTTTTTTTTTTCAACATATTTTGTATTGTTTTTTTTTCTATGCTACTGTTGTATCGCAAGTGGTGCGAAGCTCAGCTTCGATTCTGTGTCAAAGTTTTTGCTCGTGGATTTTTTTTTCAGCTAAATGGGTATCTTACCTCTTTTCGGCTTCACTTTTTTCGGCTTAGTGGGCGCTCGGTAAATGCTTACTGTTTATTTAATAATTTTGGTTGTTTTTCTAGCTTAAAATGCTGAGCTTGCGTGGTCTCGCAAGTGATGCGAAGCTCCGCTTGGGTGCCGGACATCAAGCCGACGGGACTTCAAGCCGAATCGTAAAATTAGGGACTTCAAGCCGAATAGTTCCTTACAAACTCGTGAAATATGATTAATTTGAAAACTTTTTTGAAGAAATTCTGAATTTCATGATCTTTCTTCACAAGTTATTGGCGTTTTGATAAAATTTAAGCCTCCAAATGATGTTTCGGAAAGTTGAAAACTGAAACATGGTTGAAGGCATTTTTCATGTTTATAATTTATGCATTTCAAAAACCGGCTGATGTTATTAACGGATGCCAATCACAAGTGGTGCATTGTCATGAATAACGCTTTTAATGGACTAAACTTGCCAAAATTTCTGAAAAATAACGTTTTACAGGTGATAAAATAGTGTTTTGAGGTGCTTGTAAAGTTTTAATTTCGGCTTGAAGTCCCTTCGGCTTGAAGTCCCGTCGGCTTGTTGTCCTAGACCCGCTCCGCTTTGCCTCGGTGTTAATAACTCCGACGGAAGGTTTTATACTACCTTGAAGATGTTATTCTCTTCATAAGAACATAATTTTAATCCGACCTTCTCTTGTACTTTAAATTACCAACAGAATTTTAATCCGATCATTTTGTTGAGTTAAGCGCCATAAATTAATAGTACTGTCAATATATCAGTTTGTTATGCATCATCTACCGGAACACTGGCTTCAAGATGAAGGTAAACTGATCTAAAATGGCAATCACTGATTTAAAGCATTTCACATTTAGAGCAGCTTTAATACAACCCAATTTGATATTTTCTCTGAGTATTGTAGACATTAACGCTCTCCACGGCCTGAAAACTATTTATATGTGTTTTGTTTTTTATGACATTACTTTATTAGGAAAAATGAATTTCCAGAGGAGTTGTCGGACCGATAAACATGTCTCGGCTGCACGACTGGTGATCTCATTCAAAATGTACGAATTGGACAACGCAGTGGAAATAATCAACTCCTTTCTGCCCAAAAGCGTGAGAGTTCACGATTATGTGAGAACGACGAAGGGATTTGACTGTAAAAAGTGGGCGAGCAGTCGCATTTATAATTATGTCGTGCCATCTTATTGTTTCCAGCACAAAAGTGCCGTGAACAAACAAGCGTTGCAATTGTTTCGGGTTGATGAGACGTTAAAAAAGCGGATCAATGAAGTTTTAAACCATTATCATGGTGAGAAATTTTAATTCCTTAATTAAGTTTTTTCACAGGCGGCAAGTATGATTGGCAGGCGTCTGGAGCGATGGTGAAATATTCATTTAAAATTACATTTACTTTCATAAGCAGCCTTGTGAAAACAAGTTAAATCATCAAATGAAAGAAGTTCGAATTTTTCGTTTTATTTGACTCGATGTTTCTTACGTCTATGCCTCGGACGACAAACGTCCTCAGTTCAAATCCGGCAAGAACCTCTTAGCAAACTTAGTAGTAAATTTTCTGTTTCAAAACAAATCGCCTACTATTGCGTTGTTTGAAAAATTGCACTGTAAGTAATTTTGATGAACATAATTCGAGACAAACGTATGAAAGTACTATGTTTGTGGTATTGAAAGTTGTGGCGCGAAGCTCCGCTTTGGCCCTGTCTAAAGATTTTTCACGCTCATATTTAATTTTTCTCGTTTATACTTTCAATTTTTTTTTCAAGTTTAATATAATTTCATCTGCAAAAGTGAAGGCAAATACACTCTCCGATTACGGAAATGGAAATTCATTAAATACTTGAATGATTTTTGCTCTCAAAGTGGATTTTTTTTAGATTTCTCAGCGGAATAAAAAATTACTGCGAATAAAAAAACATTGATCCAGTTTTCTACAACTACAACCAGGGCTGGTCAATAAAAAACAGGGGTTGTTTTAAACAGTGTTTAAAACTGTTTTAAACACTGTTTAAAACATGACTCAATTTTAGTGTTTTAAACAGTGTTTCATGTTTCGACTGCGAGGGCGCAATTATTACGCAATTTAACTGGCAGCTGTTACTTGATTCATCCAAATTAACACGTACAGTGCAGTTCTTTCAACAAGCTATCAAGTTTTGCTGACATTATACAGCTTTGAGCGTGCGTTCAGCACAATGGGGTATGTGGAAGGGGACCTCAGGAACAGCCTTTCCTCAGAGAAAACTGAGAAACTAGCATTTTGTATGCGTTGCTTGAAAAAATAAATTCTTGCAAAAAAAACATGTTTTAAACTGTTTAAAACGTTTAAAACAGTTTTAAACGTTTTTTTTTTTAAAAAAACATATTTTGACCAGCCCTGACTACAACTAGATTAAAATTTGGGAAAAAGCGCCAATCATAAAAGATTATTACGCTTGCGATTAGCAGGCGTTATCAAACCAAAATATAGACTTTTTGGGATGGAAAACTAGTTAAACAGAATCACTTGAATCATTTTACTTCTGGCTTATATGTAATCAAAAGTCAGACAAAAGTCCTTACCGGACTTCTAGTTGTCTGCTTTTTGTCGGCTTGATTACCGCAGCACCAAATTTGTCATGTCATATGGGCTTTGTTTACTCGAATTGAAAAATATTTTAGTGGATTACTGTTTAAGGCAAGCAATGGAGTGAATTTTGCTTCTTTTATTTTTCATGCTGTATTTTTTGACTTCTTTGATGCTGTTCATCAAAAGGTTTTTGAAAGTTTTTCCGTTATAAGTTCAAGGAGTGTTCTGTTCATTTAGTGCAGTGGTAACACGCATGCTAGAGACGAAAAATCCTAGAAGTTCCCAGATTTGAGTCGGGACCTGTTTTTTTTTTGTCGAAACTGAAAATTTTCTACTCTTTTTTGGACTTTCGTGTCTGCTGTTTGTTGTCGGCTTAGGTCCCACCGAAAGATTCGGTTTCTTTTAACCATTTTGAAACCTCTTTATGAAATTTCTCATGGTGCAGCTAATTTTATTTCAGGAATTTTTTTGTCCCAATTTTAAAAACTTTTTTGACAAAAAAGATTTTTAAATGTTTTTTTTCAGCTTTGATTTTTTTTCTGTGATAGCATGAACACTCTTTTTTCCAACTTAACTAGCAAATATTAATGTCATTTTGAAAGTGTTCATTTCTACCAATGACCAGTTATTAAGTACAGCCAATGCTAAGGATATGAACAGACTATTATATTACAAATAGCACTTTAGCTTCAAGGTATCATGGATCTGCAGCGTAGAGGTAGGGAGGAGACCCGCAACAAAATAAGAGAATTGGAACCTGGGTAAGGTCGGATGTTTTTTGAACTTTTTAGCATACTAGTTAAAATGCGTCCGTTCTATAAATTTAGACATCTTAGTTGGTAAATATCTTTTTTTTTTCAAATTGACTGGTACTGCCAATACTTGGTAATTGGCTTGCGTCACCTAGCAATCATGTAGACTTATAATTGGCGTGCATCACCTAAGAAATTTTGTAGACTAAAATTTTTACTCATTAAGTTTTTCCCAGTAGCGTTATCGGTCATATTTTTGCTTGGGGATGCGAAGTGCAACTTCGCCTCTGTGTCATTTCGCTTTTCTCGTTTCTTGACACTTTTTCAACAGTCTGTGAGCGATGTTTTTTAATGTCCGATTGGCGTTAAGTTTTCGCCTTCCCAAAACATTTTTTGTCAACCAATCTTGAAAAATTCGAAATGCGCGACTTAGGGCAATGAATTTTTTCGGTGCTTTTTGCTTAAACTCCTATTTTCAATTAGCGCGATGAAAATCTAACGCTTAATTTATTGAGTTGAGATTTTTATTTATCATTAAAACACTGGTCTTTTAAAAACAATTGTTTAAAATGCCAAGGCTTTAACGAAAAATATTTTAGGCACCAAAAATTTCCATAATTTCACTTCTCGCAAAGAAGGAAAAGACCCGAGTGCTATTCGATACATAACCAGTTTCAAAATCACCGACACATTTTTGTGGCCTGATAAATGCGAAGACGAGTCAGTTGAACAAACGGAATACTTAACGCTTTCTGTTCACGGCCAGAGTTTTATGTTGCACCAGATCCGTAAGATGATTGGACTGGCAATGGCGGTGGTTCGTGGAAATACAGAAGAGATCATTTACGAGAAGATATTTGGAAACGACAAGCATGATATTCCGAAAGCGCCTTCGATTGGTCTGTACCTAGAAAATGTGTTTTTTGAGTACTACAATAAGAAGTTTGGAACTGACGGAATGCATACTCCAGTGAAATGGGACCACTGTGAAGATGCAGTGGAAAATTTCAAAAGAGAGCAGATAGTGTGTAATATTTTGAATGATATGAGAAAAGAGAAAGTGTTTGAGGAGTATTTGCCGATTCTTGATTTGCACACTTATACAACTGAAATCGGACACCGCTTGACGAGACCTGACCATGTGCCTAACGTGACTGAAGTTAAAACGGAGTTGGATAAAGTCGAAAATGATTCTGTTGTGCTAGAAAATGAGACTGAGAAAATTGTAAATAATAGCTAAGATGATGTTAATGGTGCTTCCAGTTAGAAATTTAAAAAAATAAATTGTTTTTGTTTTAGTTCTTTTGAAGAGCTAATTTGATACATAACCAGGAAGAGCTAATTTGATACATAACCAAAAGTTTGTTTTAATTTTCTGTAGCATGAAAAGGGCTCTTGGTTGAGGGGGTAGTAGGGTACCGCATTTGGGGTGGTGTTCATTGTCTTCTTCAGTAGGTGGGGGTGGGGTTATCTCTGTACCTCACACTGTGGGTGGGGTGTAACTCAGTACCTCAATTATCCAATATCTGTTCCTACCAGTGTTGAAAAAGAAACGATTTTTATTGAAAAAAATCAATTAAACAACGTTTTTTTTAATATAAAAAACATGTTTTATTGTTTTTTTTTTACAGTTTGTTCAGTTCTAACTTTCTGCCCTCATACCGATGATCTAATAGATATGCGGCAAGAAAAACGGAAGTCAGATAATCATCTCTTCTCTTCTTCTTGCTACAAAATGTTTAGGATGATCCGGTGCAAAATTGTAGAAATCAAGCCGGCTCAATAAGGGAAGGCGGCTGATACCCCCATCGCAGCGATTCGACTCCCAGACAATGCTAGTTTTTAGCGATAAAAGTTTTAAAATAAAAAACACTGTTTTTATTTTGTGTTTTAAAACAAATTTTTTGCTTTGTTTTAAAACGTGTTTTAAAACATTCCCAACCCTGGTTCCTACTTTGGGTGATTTGGGTTTTGCTGCAATCGTCTATTCAAGTCAACTTGTTTTAACATATCAAAAAGCGGAAATAATCATGATCACGATGTTTACACAAAAATGCGGGAGGGTTTCTTGATCAGATCGTTCAATCAAGAACATAGCAGCCCAAATGGTTATATTTTGATTTTGATGTCGCTTCCGAAATTAACAAGTATTAACAAAATAAAAAACGGTTGAGCATCAATTTGCCCAATTTTGAACTATATCATTTCAAGTTTATCAAGCGATATTGCTGTTCTGTGAAACTTTTCATACGAATTCGTTCAACCGCTGAGGCTTAAACGTTAGATTGCGTGGGCATCGCCTAAGAAAACAACTTCTGAATGTGATTACTGTATTGTGAATCTGAGTATCTGCGGCAATTTTGAGGCAAGTTGGCATTGAGCAAGTTGTCAATTGGGGCAAGATGGCGTAATACGAGATGGGAAGGAGCAAATTGTTCTCGAGCCTAAATTGCCAGGGAAGCGTGGGAGGGGGGGGGGGGATAGCTCTAGCTCAATAAGTACTTGAGACGTGTTTATAACCACTTCAAAATTGTTTGAATGACATGAAATCATAAATCAGTTTCTTCAACGATAGTGAAACGTTAACATTTACAATATCAAATCTCCAAAATTACATTCAGAGTGAAAAAAGAATCAATAAAACTAAGGCGACTTGGGTGGCATAAAGCCCATTTTTTCTGTTTTAAACGGAAAAACAGCAATTTTAATGTGCTGCGGAGAACAGTTTTTGATATTCAGATATAAGGCTGGTTAGTTGCTTTGCTCGATAAGGCCATCGTCGCACAAACAAATTTGCAAAAAAAAATTCGTTTTTTCTTTTCAATTTTTTTCTCGAAACTCATGAAATTATTTTCAGTCGGTCAATTGATTGCGTGCTGCGAACACATTAACCATGTACTTGCGTTTGCTGACGTCTTTTTGTAGCGTTTTACCATTTTTGCTGGAGGGAGATAGCTCAATTGGTCATTACGGGGGGAGATTGGTCAATTGATCGACGACTTGCTTTATAAATATTTTAATATATCAAGACTGAAGACTTACTTTCAGTGTGGTGGAGATTCCCGTTATTTAGAGTCAATGAACGTAGTTTTTAAGTTCAGTTTATTTTTTTGTTAAAAGGAAGGCAAACTCCACTGTCGAACAACGAAAGTTAAAAGGCCACGAAAAGCGTTACCGGCTTCTAGTTTCGAAAATTGATTTAAATAATCTATTTTCCAACGAAATAAAAAAGTTAACCTATTGATCCAATTTTCTCAAATTTCGTTAATGTTATCAAGAAAAGTGTCAATCATAATTAGTTCTAGAAGTTCAAAGAGATTTAGGAACATCTGATTTTTTTCTTTGAAATTCAAAAGTTGAGGTTTTTCAAAGAACAAGTAAGTTTTTTTTCGGTTATTTGTGTTCATGTTAACTGTTTTGGCAGTGTTTTAAAATGGTGGTAAGGTGGACATCAAAATTTTCCCACATAAAAACATAAAATTTTCCCCATCCGCTACTGCCTGCAATACATCCTTAACTTCCGCTACTGACTGCAATGCATCCTCCTGATTGAAACTGATCATGATTTAAGCAAACTTTTTAGCTTTTTTGAGCGTTTTAAAAATAAATAAGCTTTTTATTTAGGCTATTTGGATGATGTTTTAAGAAACTCGATTCGGAGCGTTTTTATAATTTTAAAACTTAGTCTTATTATACATTTTCATGAAACTGTTAGTCTTTTGAATCGCGATGTCGTTTATAAGTTATCTCAACAACTAGAAAATGATTGTTTTTTTCTTGAGATAATCTATTCCATGACAATTTTTTGAAAAAAGAATACTCAGTAACAACATTTTTTGTGCTAAAATTGCATCTTTTAATTGACAATTAACCATTTGGTTGCGTATTGAACTTGCTAAATTGGAGTGGATGTATTTGAATGGCTGAGTTCGGTTTAGTTCGTTTTGGATTGAAATAACCTACTTGGTTGATTGGAAGCAACGTTAAATTACCATGATAAGCTTAACACATTCAGGATAATTCTCACTTATTATCGGAAGATAATGATAGGGTAATTTGTCAGAAATTTCTTCATATTCATGGTGTCCTTCATATTAAAAAAGTTTGTGGTTTATTACATTTTTACACCAAATGGTTTTTATTATTTGGCTCATTTTTTAAGACTTTATGTAGGACCTTCATGTAGGAACTGATAATTTTTTTTTCCAGAAATTCATTTGCTGATAGAAAAGCAATTTACGCTCTTCAATTAAAAAAGCGAAAAACATGAAATTACTTGAAGGTTTGAACGAGGAAAATAGTTTTTAGATTTCCCAGGTGAAAAAACCTATTAATGCAGTTTTCTCTATTTTGGCTAGTGTTACGAAACAATTTGAGCAAATAAAAGTCTTGAAATTTAGTGAGCTTCAACGTGAGGCATTTTCTCCGAAATTAGAATTGTTGTTGTGGCTTTCCAGTAGAATACTGGTGGGAACTTCTTCCACAGAGTTTCTAATATTGTCCAGTTATTTTTGCACGTTGTGCAGTCGCAGCATATCTGCCAAGTGCAGAGGTTGAGGGTACTGTGTTTTTCACTGTAGAATTTCCACATAAGAGTTGTGATGCGCTGTTTGAGTCCCTGTTCTATCCTGAAATTGACTAAATGATCAATTCTATTTGCAACTCTGGTTGTACGAAAAACGAATTCTCCCCTGCGTTTTCTGTTCGAGTTTTGGGTAATTTCAAGGGCTCTAATCGTCGGTCTAGGGTATTGTTAGCTGTGGAAAGTGGGATGCTGTGGTGTTCGTAGTCAGTGCAGAGTTTTGAAAGCAAAAGTAAGTCATTGATCTGTAGGAACATTGGCAGAGGTAAAATGTTGAGCATTCTAAGTTGATCAGTGTATTTTTGGCAGTGTTTTCCACATATCCACTCAACTACTTTCTTTTGAAAAAATTCAAGTGTTTGTAGGTCTTTTCTCAGAAAGTTCGCATAGTGACAGGCGTAGGTTAGGACTGGTAGTAATATTGATTTGTAGAGACCTAGTTTTACAAAGGTGTTGACGTTATATGCTACATTTCGTCTTAGACTGTATAGTAATTTGTTTGCTTTCTTTAATCGTTCGGTTAGATGAGTGCTCCAACTAAGATCTCCTAACATGTGAATACCCAGATCTTTTATAGATTTTGGCTGAGGTACACGATTTCCGTTCAAAAATAAATTTATATCAACACCTCTGAAGGTTATTTGAGCGCATTTTTCGAATGCCAGTTCCTTGTTGTTTTGTCTAACCCAATCTTCGATTTTGTTTAAGTCAAGTTGTATTTCACCTTGTTTGCGTCCAACAGATAGTATTTTTTAGATCGTCAGCAAATATTGCGGGGTCACTGAAGCGTAGGACTTCAGGGAGATCATTTATAAAAACACAGAACAGGAGTGGGCCCAGGAGTGAACCTTGGGGTACCCCGCTGGTTATTTCGAGGAAGGTGGATGTGTAGAAATCAACCCGAACAAATTGCCTTCGGTTTCTGAGGTAGTCGTAGATGAGTTCGAGTAGGCATCCACCTACACCAATATCACTCAATTTTCGGAGTAATAACTTGTGGGGGACTTTATCGAAGGCCTTGGAGAAATCAGCATAGAAAGCAATGATCTCATCATGGGGATTTGCATCCAGGGCTTTGTAGATTCGATTTAGGAATTGGAGCATGTTGCTCATAACGTAGCGCGTTTCTTCACAAAACCGTGTTGGTTTATGAAAGATGGTCTTTAAAGTGCTCGTAGAGTGGAGATTACCTGCATTTTTCAAAGATTTTGCTGTCAATGTTTAGAAGTGAGATTGGGCGATAGTTTTCAACGTCTTTTGGGTCGTTCTTTTTGTGAATGGTTGTTACAGCCGCTGTTTTCCAACTCGTTGGCATTTTGCGTATGCGTTTAATATTCTTGAAAAGCTTATTGAGTATATTACTCATTTGTTTGCCGCATCGTTGGTAAAACCCGGGAGGTAGACCAGTTTTTGTAGTGTATATTTGCCAGAATATTACTTATTGTTTTGTTTGAAACGCTGAAGTTTGTTAGAGTTGGTGATTCGCACTTTATATCAAGGAAGTTGTAGTTCTCTTTGGCTGAAAACACTGAGTGAAAAAATGTGTTAAACATTTCTACCTTTTCTTCTGGAATTGATGTCATTTTGTCTTTGAACTTCGTTTTCGGGATGTTCGAGGCTCTATTGATATGCTTAAGGTGCTTGTAAATTTGACCACAATTTCTTGAACCAAAAATTTTTTCTTGGTATGAGATTCGATCATGTTCACATAATTCAGTGATTCGGCTATCTAGTTTGAGGACCTTATTTTTTCGGTAGCTAGTTGGT